ATGGTCATGAACGATAAATAAATACGCTTGATGCTCAATAACATAACCAGAAAACACATACACTCTTGTCATTTGCTTAAAACCTTCATCAATGATACATTGATATATTTCCTACAAGGATGAGCACACATACAACTATTCATCCATGCTGCACAAAGCTATAAAATCCCAAACAACCCAGTTCTAAAAGGACAGTATTACATTAATTTCTCTGCCTAAAAAGATACTCCATCACATGTACGCACTCAATAACCTAAGACAAACGAGTACTCAGCCTCGAGAAGCCGGATCAATTATATAAGAGGTTGTCAACAAAATTAAATATCAATGAAACCAAAAGGAACCAACTTTCCATATAAAAGAGTTTTTGGGAAAAAGCTAAAACCCACAAACAGAACAATAGCATGTCCATGGATTAAATTAGAAACCCGGCGAGCTTCCAACCGGCCGAAAGCTGGAAAGTATGAAGCCACTCATATTCTCCAATCGCACATAGACAGAACAATTCTACGTAGTATAAAAGAGAATTAGTCACCTGGCCTTAAAACCCCAATTAAACCCCTTCACCCAAGAAAATCATTCTTTTTTCTATTAACTTCAAATATTCCAAAATTAAAACCCCAGATGCAGTATCATACAACATACAAAATCAAATTAAATAAACAAACAAGACACAATTAATTCAAATCCAATACTACAAAATCAATAATCAAATAGATCAACGGAGCTAAAACACACTTCAATTGATCAAAAACATAGAAAACCCAGATCAAAAAACACGCAAAAATCAATCAAATTAACAAAAAAACACTAAATCACCATCCTAAATTGAAAAACACATAAATCAGATCGAAACATGAAGAGTAACAACATCATATAAAAAAATCAATGAAATTCATACCAAAGGTTCGCCCTTTTGGAAGAGATTGTTCATAAGAAGAGCAGGATCAGCGGGTTTTTTAGGGGAAAAGAAGAATTTGGATGCAAAATACCAAAATACCGCCATTCTTATAACTCCAGAGATCGATTGTCCAAAACCTTGACGTTGTTGCGGTGGCTGCGCACCTCCTCCGCCGCCTTCTGCGATTGCCGGCGGCGCCATAACTAAGTTTTCTCCGTCAATCGAAGTGGGTTTGTTCGTTTGAAGAGGATGGATTGATTGATTCTCTCACGCTCACGTTCTCAGCACGTCTGAGAGAGAGAAAGTTGTGAGAGTGAAGCCGTGGGAGATATTTTAACGTTTTTTTTTTCTTTTAATTAAGTACTTCCTCCATTCTTTTTTACTCAACTCGCTTTGACTTTTACACTATTCACCACCCCTCTTTTGACCGTGTTTTGTGAATAATATGTAAGGAAAAACATATTTATGTTGGATCATTTTGAATACGTCTCAATAACTACTATCATAATTTATAACTTTTATATTTTTTAACTATGGAGAATTAAAATTATTGACCATTAAAATTTTGCATTGGCAAGCGTGATAAAAGAAACAAGTCAAGTAAAAAAGAACAGAGGAAGTAGTTTTTAGCCCGGGCTATGCCCCGGGTCATTATATGTATATTATAAATGAGGCTTTATAATAAAAACAAGATTAGATACCGTGCAATGCACGGTTTATATAAAACATATTTTTAATTTGTACATTTTAATAATAAATTGCTATTGTACATTAACATAAATAAAAATTACGTACATTTTTTAATTTAAAATCTTTTATTTTCATCAAAACTATGATATAGCTATTATTCGACATTGTCTATTTCATAGTTCAATATAGGAGATTATTTATTAGCGTGGTATTTAAAATTGTTTCAATTTTCTACGATAAATTGATATGTTTTAGTTGTAAGATAGAAGCTTCTAATATTTAAATTTCAAAAATGTTAAATAGGATAACGCTACACACACAAATATATATATATATATATAAATAAATGACGTAATCATTGCATTTAGGCGGGAAATTTTTTATTAAGATAATGACACATGGGCAGTGATGATGTCATCATCTTCAATTTTAATAATAGTTAATAGATTATGTGATAAAATACAAAAAAAAAAAATTAAATTAGTTACATTTGTTGTAAATAAAGGAGTAGTCTAGTACAAATAATATAAAAATATTTAAGTAAGATCAAATAGATAATAATTTCACAAACAATGGAATAATATCGGTGTGTTGGAAATCAATAACTTGAAAATGAATTTTCGGCGCAACCAATGTGCTTAATTGTATTCACCGACACATGCCTTTAAGGTTAACAATGATTTGAGTCAAGTAACTTATGCGCAATAGAGAATGTGTTTAGACAATTGTGGTTGATGTATTTTTCAATTATAAAAATCAGAATAAAGGTTTCTTCTATTTATAGAGAAACATGAAAGAACAAAGGGGAGATGAATAATCACCTTAAACATCCTCTTAAATGGAGGGTTATGAGAGTTACTTATCAAGAGAGTAATGATGGTGATTAATCACCTTAAACATTCTCTTAAATTGAGGGTTATAAGACTTGAGGGAATCCAAAGACCAAACCGTTGGAGTTCAACTATGACATGGCGCCACATCATATGCCTAGTCACGATAACACGTGGCGGGCTCATGGCTTCCCATTAAGTTTTAATATATATATATATATAGAGATTTTTTTTTCTATATACTCATGAGTTTTTTTTTGTTTATTCACTTTGTGTTCAAACTTACCATACACCCTTGTGTTGTTACAAAAATTTATCTTATATTCCTTAATGATAACAAGATGAATGGAATTTGGTTAATTATGCATCTAAACCATCTTATATCTCTTACCCATCCCCGAAATCACTCATCTCTTTTCTCCACCCCCCCGAAACCACTTCAAACCTCCATAACCATATACGTATGATTGATTTTAAGGATAAGAAAAGAAAATTTGGGGTGGTTTAAGTGGTGGGAAAAAGAGTTTGGGTGGTTTATGGGATATGTAATGTATTTAGGATGCTTTCGGTTCATAATTAGTCCTAATAACTGACGAAGTAAACATTCATTAGTTATCAAAAATATATGGTGTATTTTTTTAAAAACTCGTGGGTATATGATGAATTTTAAAAAGTTCAAGGGTATATAGTGAATAAACAAAAACTTAGTGTTATATGGTGAAAAAATCGTTTAATTAACGTTGTATCTTGCTAGTCACACGGTATGGCCACATTGATTTATAAGAGTAATCTTTAATCACATATATAAGTAACCTTATTTTTTTCATAAGAATAACCCTATGTTGTCCATAAAAGTAACCAAATTCATTTTACGAGTGCAATCAATTAGTTTTGAAATAAGTAACCCAATGTCCATTCGAGTAATCCCTATTCTTTTGTTTTAAAAAGTGAAAGAATAATTTCATTTTTTTAAAAGAGTAACTTTTTTTTCTCATTTAAGTAATCTACATATTTGCTCATCACCGTAACCCCCTATTACTTAATTAATTGCCTTATATGTGATTACATTAAGTGGCGACACCATATCATGTGGCTAGCATGCCTATCCACATATAAGACTTTGTATTTTTTTAATAACAATATGATATCCATATTTATATTTTGTTTTTCACCAATGTCACACGTCACCTCCCCAACATGCCACATGTAAACTTTATTTTTCCACCAATGCCACATGTCACCTCCCTTCATTAATCAATTCCCTTTCTTATATTTTTTTAAAAAATCTATACTTAATACTTTAGTACTACTATTTAAAAACACAAACCATCATCCTACCATGCCACATGTAAAATAAACCTAGCTTAACTCAATATATATATATATAATATATATGTACATGAATGTTATTTGATTCATTTTCCCCCCAATTTTATCTTGCTTCTACAATTATTGTTTTTTAAAAAAATATCTTAACGAGTCACCGTATGCAGTGGTAAGGTAGCTCAGAAAAAGAGAGAGTCACAAGCCGTAACCCCCTATCTCTCTCTTCTTCTGAGTAGGCTTGTGACTCACCAATACCCATGCTCATCACCGTAACCCCCTATCTCTCTCTTCTTCTGAGTAGGCTTGTGACTCACCAATGCCCATGCTCATCACCGTAACCCCCTATCTCTCTCTTCTTCTGAGCTACCTTACCATTGCATACGGTGACTCGTTACATACTCACAAAGAGGGGAAGCAACGTCTGCTGATGCTCTGATGAGTAACTGACATATGCATGGGCTTTGCTGACTCTTTTATAAAGGAATCTCATATTTATTCGTTGGTCCAATTACCACATGACAACTCATCCAAATTGCTGAACATTTGCATGAGATGTTGTTTTAGTCCAACAGCTCTCCAACGGCTCTATTATTTGGAGCACTTTCGTGTTGATATTATTACTCTAACGGTAATTTTTCACTTCATTTAAACATATTTCAAAAAAATAATTTCACCAACGGTATAATCATAATTTTATCTATAAATAGAGCCTAATATTGATATAGTTTTTCACCCTTAAAATTTCACTCTTCTTTTTTTCATTATAAAAATATTTTGTGATTATGGATCTTAATAATCCTAATTACGGAAGTGGTTCCTCTCAAAATAATCCAAATAACCAATCTTCCAATATTGCACTAAAGAATGACTTGGTTGAACATATATGGGGACGTTTCGGCAACGAATGAAGAGATGACAAAAGTCGTTGTTAATGAATATTGTATTTTAAATTTCAATGGATGTCTTTGCTAAATAAACTATGTTATTAATATATTGTATTATTTTTGTACTTTTCATTTCAAAAATTAGAAATTTTTTTTTATTAATATTGTACTATTTATAATGCTCTAATTAAAAAGAAAAAAAATTAAAAATGTCTTAACTTTTTTTAATTAATTATGTAAGTTCAAAAATTACAAATAAATAATAGAGATTAATACATGTTTTAAAAAATATAAAATAAAACAAGAGTGAGAAAGAGAAAATGATGGGGTAGTTAGGAGAGAGAATGGTGAGTAACCTCACCATTGTAGATAAATAAATAAGCTATCTAGAGAAATAAATAAGGTGACTCATACTAGTAGCTTAAGATAGTGGAAGGTGAGGTGGAAGATGATTTGGAAAAAAGATAAATAAAAAAAATAGTTGAAAGTGAGGTGGAGAATGGTGAGTAACCTCACCAATGCCCATACTCTTATAAGCTTTTCCTAAAAGTAAAACAAGCCAGTGTTACAATAATGAAAATGCTAGGAAATACTGACACAAGAATAATTGGCATTTTTAAGTATATATCATATTGAGATGCAAAATATGACTCAAAGTCACATCTCTTGCTAAATATCACTTTGTCGATGTCGAGGCCTAGTAAGAATATAGGACTTTTTCATTGGATCTTAAAATCTATAAATATAATTAAAGTAATAACCGCTGACATTATTCCTTATTTAAATTGTACAGATTTCAAGTTGTGGTAAAAATATTTTCCGCTTAAATCAATTCTTGACATCATATTCTTATTTTTATTTTTACTTATTTTTTTAAACCTTTTATTTTTTACCTTAAATTATACTCTTTCCGTCCCTAAAATACATTCCTATTTCTCTCTATTATGTGAGAATAAATAATAGAAATATGAATGTAATTTAGGAACAGAGGGAATAATATGTTATTTCTGTTTTTTTTTTTTTTTTTTTTTTTAAATTATTATGGATTTATAAAAAAAACTATCTAGATTCCAAGAGTACTCTTGGTTAATGGTTATATTTGTATACGTATTTTTTTTACTCTCGTTTTAAGACACCCACCCTTTCACGCCACCACCATCACTTTTCACACCCACCAATCTTTCACGCCACCACCCACCACCATCTCCAACCGCACACTCTGCACCTCTTGGCACATTGCACCACCTCGCATACACTCAAAATCAGTGGCTCATTTGTGTTCTTGGAATAGGCGCCATTAGTATGCGCTCGAACCAGCACAGACTCATATAACAGGCGCATGTACCACTGTAGAGACGCATATTAGGCGCTTGTTGTACAATACAGAATCCTCCAACCAAAGGTCTACAATAGGTGTTGTTTGATATAGCTAAAGGGGCTGCCCACCAACTGTTTGTTAGAAGTCCTCACTGAAAAAACTTGCCTAAATCCCATAAAAGCAAAAGGGGTTTTAATTCTTGCACGCTGTACCAAATTTTGAGCTGAATTTAGTGTTATTAGTGAGTAAACATCGTTCCTAAAGTAGGAACTTCGTGTAGAAGAGAGAACTTCAAAGGGGATATTTGCTTATACCAGGGTGTTGTATAGCTTGATTGAAGGTATCTTGAGATGTATATAAGACCCACTATTTTCTGGGGTTTTTAGAGGATGCCCAAGTGGTTAACAGATGATGTACACGGGTTTCGAACCAAGGTTCATGGTACATCTCCTAGGGACTTTGCTAGCTGACATTCATAGAATGCATTAGAGTACAATGCAAATGCCAGACTTCAAAGCATGGAGTGAACTTGTAAGGGCTCAATCTATTGGTGGGAGACATGATGAGGTTTTATCACTTTTCCTTTCAAAATTACGATATCCATTTGGATTTAGGCCTGATCACATTGTGCTGCAAGCTGCTTTAAAATCATGTGCAATTCTCCCAGCACTTAATGTAGGCAGAGCTCTTCATAGTGTTGTTGTTAAGCTGGGTCATCTTTCCTGTCTTTCTGTATCTAAGGGACTGCTTAATGTGTATGCTAAGACTAAGTCCTTTGATGACTGCAAGAAACTGTTTGATCAGATGCCAAAGCGCGATACTGTTGTTTGGAACATTGTATTGGCCGGTATAGCTGGGTCCTATTCTCATGACGATAAAGTGATGAGATTAGTGTATAGTATGCATACTTGTCAAGAAGCTGAACTCAGCCCTGTAAGTATTGCTATCATTCTTCCTGTTTGTGCCCGTTTGAGGAGTTTAGATGCTGGTAAAAGCATACATTCTTATGCTGTGAAATCTGGATGGGCTTCTGAAACACTTGTGGGAAATTCACTTGTATCTATGTATGCGAAATGTGGGCTGGTTTATGATGGTGCATATGCATCCTTTTGTGAGATATATGATAAAGATGTTGTCTCATGGAATGCATTAATTTCTGGGTTTACTGAGGGAGGGTTCTATAGTGATGCTTATTTGCTGTTTAGACGTATGTTGTTGGGGCATGTTGCGCCAAACTATGCTACTCTCGCAAGTATTCTACCTGTATGCGCCACTTTAGATAGAGATATTACTCATAATTTAGGGAGAGAGTTGCATGTTTATGCTCTTAAACATTGTGAGCTGCAAAAGGATGTTTTTGTGGTCAACGCTCTTATGAGTTTTTACTTGAGGATGGGTGTGTTGGAAGGTGCAGAAGCGTTGTTTTCTGGGATGACATCACGGGATCTAGTTTCATGGAATGTCATTATTGGCGGATATGCCTCAAACAATGAGAATTCTAAAGCAGTCCACTTGTTTCACAATCTAATTTCAGGGAAGATGCTGGAACCAGACTCTGTTACTCTAATTTCTGTCCTCCCTGCTTGTGGCCAATTGCAAAATCTGTGGATGGTTAAGCAGATTCATGGCTATACTTTCCAATATCCAACTTTATATACTGACACAGCAGTTAGTAACGCCCTGATAAGCTCGTATGCTAAGTGCGATGACTTAGATTCATCTTTGAGGACATTTAATATCATATCTCAGAAGGATTTGATCTCCTGGAACTCAATGCTTGATGCTTTTGCTGATAGTGGAAGGGAATCACAGTTAGTTAATCTGTTACACCAAATGTTTGAAGAGGGGTTCTTACCTGATTCCATCACTATATTAACCTTGATCCGGTTTTATGGAAGTGTTTCCAGATTATATAAGGTTAAAGAGGCTCATGGTTACTTACTAAGGGCCTGTCTTTGTCAAAATACTACTCAACCTACACTAGGTAATGCTTTACTTGATGCTTATTCTAAATGTGGTTGTGTGGATGACGTTGGTAAGATTTCTGGAATAATATTAAGTGAAGGGAGGCTGAAGTGGGATTTAGCAAAACCAGGATCCTTGACTTGCAATTTACAAGCTCAAGCTGGACCTTGTAATGTTCTGGAGTGTATGTCTCAAACTGATCTTGTGACATATAATTTAATGATCCGAGCCTATGTGGAGAATAATTGTCTTGAACAGGCTGCGGCTCTGTTGTTTGAGTTTCAAGTTAAAGGTGTGAAGCCTGATGCAACAACCATTATGAGCATTCTACCTATGTGTGCTAACTTGGCTTCAGCCCATTTGCTTAGGCAGTGTCATGGATACATGGTCCGAGCTTGTATTGATGACATTCAATTGATAGGAACCATGATAGATGTATACTCAAAATGTGGCAGCTTGAGGTTAGCTACAAAGCTTTTTTGGTCAAGTTCCCATAAAGACCTAGTTATGTTCACAGCTCTAATTGGTGGATATGCCATGCATGGTATGGGAAAAGAAGCACTTGCCGTGTTCAATCACATGCTTGTGTTGGGTGTGAAGCCAGATCATGTAGCTCTCACAGCCATCTTGTCGGCCTGCAGTCATGCTGGACTTGTGGATGAGGGCTCGAAGATTTTTCATTCCATAGAGAAGGATTTTGGAGTTAAACCTACCATGGAGCAATTTGGTTGCATTGTGGATCTTCTTGCTCGAAGAGGCAAAATCAAGGATGCATATACTTTTGTCACTGAGATGCCTATAAAAGCAAATGCAAACATATGGAGCGTATTGCTTGGTGCATGCAGGACTTATGATGAGGTGGAACTGGGTCAGATTGTTGCTGATCAACTTTTTAGTTTAGACGACAGTGATATTGGGAGTTATGTGGCAATGTCAAATCTTCATGCAGCTGATGAAAAGTGGGATGGGGTCTTGGAGATCAGAAAGCTGATGAAGACTAGAGATTTGAAGAAGCCTGCTGGATGCAGTTGGATTGAAGTCAATAGCAAAAGAAGAATATTTGTATATGGCGACTCATCTCATCCCGAGACAGATGCAATATACTGCACATTGATGGCCTTGGATAAAAAAGTTAATGAGCCGCTCAATATTTGATAATGGGCACTTTGGGCAGTAGTTAAAAGGTATTGCCTTGGTCCTATCGTGTTCTCTTCTCTAGAAGGGAGACAAATCTCAATCAAATTGCTTAGCTTGGATCATCATGGCTTCATGCCGACGTGTGCATATGGCACTGAGAACAATGAGAAGTGAGTAAAAGAAGCTAGGCTCATGCATGAATTGAAATACTTGCATTGGGCTGTTTTAAAAAAAATTATTTTATGTGTTGACACGTGACTGTTGCCGAGGCTGGTAAATCTATAAGCTACACAAACACAATTGTAAACCTCCCATCCCTACCCTTGCCCCACGGGAAGCCCTGCGATTTTTCTCTGGAATATATCCTTTGTTTTATACAGTTTTTCGGAGGTGGGGATATAAACATAGCTTTTGAAGCTCGATTCTGCCTCATGAAAAAGAGCAAATAAAATTGCACAAGTTAGTTGTGTTGCCTTTTCTTTTCAAGGCTATCCATCCTGAATACCAACTCTGATGTTCTGTTGAACGTATTTGTTTTATCACAATTTCCTTTCATCTTCAGAGCCTTCTTCTGTTTTTGTCAATTTCCTTTCTTCCTCACCTTCCTACAATCCTACTAATCCTAGGGTGGTGCCTGAGTAAAGACGGTACTTCACTATTTTTTCAATGTCTTGAAAGATGTATATCTACATGTGGTCTCGGTCTGTCTGTCTGCCTGTCTATCCTGTATTATGTCTTTAATCCCTTAAAGTAATAATGTGGTCTGCCCCATGAGTCATCACTTAAAGCTTATTCTTCCCTTTGTTTTCTTCCATTCGCATTTTCAACTTTCATCCCCATCAATTAAACATTTTAATTACAAGAATTTAATTAGTAGTTTCGTTATGCATGCATGGCATTTATTGTTCATAATGTTACTTGCACATGCAATATATATATCTTTTCTGATACGGGATGGGTTGCTAGTACTGATGACACTACTTTCTTCACTTGTTGACATATTTGTTTAAAATGTTCCGAGATAATTTAATAGGTTGTAGTGTATTTTCGCTTAAAATTTCATCAAGATAACCTAAGACCTTTGTCTGTCTGTCTGTTTTAAATAAATTATCTAGCTTATTCAGTTTGATTTGATATAGGCAATAAATTATTTATTGGATATACTTGGATTGGTTAATCTTTAACTCCTTTGTATCTGTTCTGATTTTGAGCTCTAAATATAGCTGATTTGACTTGCAGAATAGCTTATGTGGATGATGTGTGAAGACAATAATCAACTGAAGCCCACAAATATCAGCCATGTGTAACCTCATTGGTGATATGATTTGTGGCGGTAAAGTTTAAAGGATCAACTTTTTTGTGCATATGATCCATCGGATACCCATGCCCCTGGTAAGTCTGAGTGCTGGTCTATACATTCTTTCTTGGTACAACTAGTTTTCGATTTTGGCAAATCAAAGAAATCAAGAGATACAGGAAAATACAGGTGCTTTGCTAAGAAATATACACTTACTGCATAGAAATTTAATACAGAATAAAACAAAGTAGACATTCTTATAATGTAAGAAAATTTAACTCTCAAATATCTCAAGTATAATATTGTGTGATTACATGGAGTTGGGTTAAGCAGCGGGTTACAAAAATATCCAGTTATCACTATCTGCTGAATTCAATTAGGTGATTGTACGGAGATCCTCTAAATTTTTGCCTAACAAGAAATATGTTAATGAGTCTATTCCTGAGAGGGTGAGGAAAAGATTCAATAAAAGCGGGAAGTCAGAAAGAGGAGATAAGAGGAAAGCATTCTGCCTTTTCATGTGCTACCTGGCTAATTCCTGACTCTTCAGTCTTCACCTGTTTTGGGAGATGTTAGAGGGAACAAGCTGAGTAATTCTGGCTCATTAAACCCAGGTTTTGATCTTGGGGAAGGATGTAAGTAAAATCGTCTCTCTCTGATAGCTTTCTCTTCTTCTTGTGTATTCAGGTCTGAAGCCGCTGGTTCACCTCTGCTTTCTCCTAAAGACAGGCTTGAGAAACACTTGGTTGGGGTGGTCATAGGGCTTGTTTGGCGATTTTTGTTCCCTGATGCAGAGGGAGAGAATTTCTGTTGCTCTAACGATGATTGAAGCTGCTGCTCCTGATAATATTGCTGCATAACAGCTGCTCCTTGCTTAATACTCAAAGGAGGTTTGATTATCTCCAACTTGGCCTTGTACTGTCTCCTTTCATGGAGCTTAAATTCTGGCTTTTTAACACCAATGTTACCTTTTGCAGTCGTTACTTCATGTGCTGCTGCTTCTGACGATCCTGTAAGCCGTTGGACAACATCCTTGAAAGTCTCGGTGTCAGCTTGCACAAACGTTGTTAACGCCTTTGAATCATTCACAGTTTTTTTTGTTGGCACCTCCATGTCCGGTGCATCAAACGCAGAGCACTCCTCTATCTGGTAACCCCGGTTTCTGTAAGCAATAGAACTTTTTGGCACAAATTTAGTTTTGTTTTTGTGGAACAACTTTCTATTAACCTAAAGTAACTTCTAATATAAGAAATGTCACAGCATTTTGTATTCTTTAGATAACATTTGCTTTAAGCTATTGTGTTTGACTTGACTTGCCTAACTCAATACACAAAAGACCAATCTTTCCTATTCTACTTAGAATATTTTGCTTAAAGATATGCCATATGTTATTATTTTGTTGCACAAAACCTTAAAAGTTCATCCAACTTTTGTGTATATTACAACATTTTTTCCTGGAAATTAATTATTCATTCTTGCCTGTCTTGAATTTAAGGCTTTTGATCTGTTTTCAGTCGGCATAAAGCCATAAAGTAACTATGGTGGGGTTCATGGAATGATTTAAGAAAAACCCCTTTTTTTGACTTATAGATAAACCTTCTAAACTTTAAGAATACACCATGTTCTATTGACCTGACATGAATCTGACCTGAATTCTCATTCCTTTCTTCACGGACAGGCAAGAAGTTCTGATTGGGCGTACCTCGAAAACTGCTCGAAAAAACCGGGAGCCTAGGAAGCCGAAGTTATGCCTGCATTTGGCGGGAATGTATACGATGATCCAAAACCGAGAATGAGGAGGAAGAAGGAAGCAAAGAGAGGGAAGAGAGACAGAGATAAAAAGGAGAGACAAAAAGATGAAACAGCAAGGGAAGCAACAGAGACGTTAAGAATTCATATTACAACTCAAGAAGGCAGTTGAGACAAAGCAAATGCAACCGCAAAGCAATGGAACTATTTGCTGTGCCCACATCACATGTTGAAAGAGAGGGAAGCCATTTTCCGCTTTTTTGGTTATATATTGGTTGCCATATATAGTCGGTATTTTTTTTAAAAAAAAATAAAAATTCCGGTATTTCTTATCAAATAACTGCACCAAGCCAACAATACAACTCTCTCACAAGTCACAATCCCGCGTAAAATAGGGATATTTGGAAATTGGATTGAGAGAATTTCAAATAAATTTCCAATTAGTTGAAAAATTAGAAAGGTAATTGGTTGCGCCACATAAGATGTGAAACGTGCTGATGGGGTTAATTAGTTGTTGAATATGAAAGTTGCCACCTTAAATTAGCATAGTTGGCAATGAGTTGGTTATGTGTGGTAAAAGATGGATGGGAACAGCATGGGGTTTCTATTTTCTAAATATGTGAGTAGTTTGAGTCGTTAAGGTTATGATGTTGACTCATTTTGGATCCTTTTTAACCGCAAAAGAATTCTTGTATGGGGCTAACAATAGTTGACAGACAACTTGACAACCATCAAGTTTAGTTGTCTAAAAGCAAGATTTGGGTTTTAAAAATTGTTTAATTTACAATATTGAACTTTCAAAAGATTAATTATTCCTTAAAAATCCTTTGTACAATTTGTCAAAGAGGAAGTTGATGGATCTAAGCATTTATAAGAGGTTCCTATCTATATTAAAGAGAATAAGGCCAATAAATATCTGATAGAAAATGAGATTACTTGAACTTTTAGGCTTTTAGAAAGAGTATAGTTCAATTGTCATAATATTCAAGTGAATCGTACATGCAATCAAGAAATTTTTATTTATTTATAGAATTGTTTGAATGAGATATAAATGAGCAAAAAAATAACGAATAAAAGGAATTCATACTTTCATAGCATGTTACCTCCTATATAATTAGATTTTGTCCATTTTTGACATTTTGTGTGGTAGACATACCTATTTCGTTTTGTCAAATTCTACTATCAATTATGTAATTCTATATATAGAAAATAAAAATGTATATAAATTTCAGACATTCTCACGACGTATACCACATGCAACAATACACTTTTATCTTATTTTCATCACTATATAGGATTAAAAAAATTAAAATATAGTCATGATAAATAGTTAAATAAAATACTTTCACATAACATATTTAGTTAGATGTTGTTGCGTTTGTATTGTTATAATTAGATAGTACACATAAACATATCAATATCAATATCATCAATCAATATCAATCAATATATATATTAAAACTCATGGCAAGACATGATGTTTTGCCATGTGTCAACAATTTTGCCATTTGGCGTATGATGTGTCGTCGCCAAATCATACCATATCATTAATTATTGAAAAACTCAATGCATTAACTTTCATGTATTCATGTTAAGTTTAATTGATAAACTCTTCATATGCATGACAATTACTATAACTACTTAATAATTACATAATAATAAAGTTAGTAAGAAATCAAACATTACTCCATTTTTATTTTGTGCATCGACTCATAAAATTGGAGTAGTAGTATATATTCTGACATCAAATTTTTAAAATTTGATTTCTAATATTTTTATGATTTTAATGTAAAAAAATTATTCTTATAATCAAACCAGCTCATACAAGCAACAAACTACTTAAGCCATCATATTAAATAAAAAAAAAAAAAAAAAATTCACCACTTAAGCTCTCAATGACAAACAAGCCAAAATATATATAGTTCGATTAAGTAATAAATTTATAATGACACGGGGCATCGCCCGGGCCAATAACTAATTTAGTTTCATTTACCTTGACATCTTAGTTGTTATATAGTGATGAAAATATAGGATTGGTAACATAGATCGATGAACTTTTGAAAGTTTAGCCATATGGGGCACGTACTGACGTACATGTGAACAAATTACTGGATTAGACCGGTGTAGACCCCGTACACAAGGTTATGAAGGCGCACGTACATATGCCACCTTGAGGCGCAAGTACCATAAGTGTGCAAGAATATGAAGGCAATGTGAAGCAAGACCTAAGTTGACAAGAATTTTTAACAATTGTGATGAAGACTTTTACCATTGTGAAAGCAAGTTTTAGTCAAGAAATAAATTATGAATTTGAATTAATTCGAAATTTCAAGATACAAGTCAATTAATTAGTCAATGTTGCGTATTACATCGTGAAGCGAAGCTTGCCTTTCAACTATAATGGACAGCAAATGCATTTATTGAGAAGCCTTTGCAACCTCGTTGATTTTTTTTTTTTTAAGGGCAATGGAGCATCTAGCACGTATATCATGTAAGGGACCATGCATAACCAATCTTTAAGGCAAGGGAGCTCTTTCAATTTGTTTTTTCATATTTGTTTCGGATGAAAACAATCGAATCTCGGAAGATCCTTTTATCTTGAGGGAACTTGGTCTCGGTCCGAACGACGCCGGAGCCGAGGGTTTCCTGCACAACAAATACACGTAAACTAGCCTCGGGGGGGACGCCGAGGAAGGCCCCTCCGATGCTTAAGTCAGTATATTAGAGAGAGAAAGCTGTGCAAGAGTTTAGTTGCTTGAGGCTTTATTGTCTTTGTCTTCTTCTTTTGTCTTACCAAGAATTGACCAAATTGTTGGCTTTTATACCTTGGCTAATGAAGGAGGCGGATTGGGCCCGGAAATCAGTTGGGCTGGGCCAAGCTGATTGGGCCGTTGACTGACCTTGACATGGCTTTGAGGATGTTGATTTTTGACTTTAGCATATTTGGAGAGTTGAACCTTTGCCTTGGGCTTTTAATTGGATCATTCAGTGACCAGGCCCAATTGGACTAAATTGGACCCAAACAACTTGCCCCCCAGACCCGATTTGGAAGGATGACGGGTCGGGTTTGATTTAACCAGAAAAGGAGGGAAGTGAATGATTTGCTGATCCAAAAATGTGAATTTAAACCGTAATTAACCCATGATTAATGAGATAACAACAGTTAATGTGGATGATTGCGGAAGTTGGACGGGTAGTGGGCGATTTAACTGCAAGGTCGTGTGTTTAACGGCTACTTAGTGGGGTGCTTGAGAGAAATTGAAACGCAGACTCCTTGAATTCCCATTTCTGGAGATATAAATAGAGGCGCGTCTTCTCTCCCCACTCACTCATCAACACAAACCCAGAATTCTCAAGAACGCTCAAGAGCCCGCATCAAAACTTCGCAAATTCCCCGAGCATTAAGCTTAGAAGCTGAGACCTGTCACTACCAATTCGTAAATCGGCGGCTTTTGCTTCAGATCAAGGTAAATTCCTTTGATTTTATTTCATCTTTCTTCGACTTTGCACTCTTTCCCCTTTTTCGACTTTTTCCTTCGAAATTCGTCGATGGTGAGGGGAGTTAGAGGTGGAGCCCGTGCTCCAAGAAGAGCAAGGCTAATCCCCGATCCCAGGGACAGGATTGGGACCTGGAATGGACGAAGGACAGAGTCTGACCCTGCTGAAGGGGTTAGGGCGACTCCCATTTCTTCGGCTCCTCCTCAGAGGGCTGAGGGGGTGAGAGCTTCAGGACGGGATGATGAAGTTCCCGCTGTCCTTTGGGATATCCTCCCAGGGTTTTCAGAGTGGGAGGATGCCGAAGTAGCTTCGGCCATGATAAAGAACCGTCCCTACTCATGGTGGGTAGAGAACGCCGATCAATATCGATTTGCTGAGCAAATTGAGTTGCACTACGGCATTTTTGAAGCTGATGGATATTGGTGCCGAATGCCCTCAGCATCCGATAGAATCCATCGTCCACCCCCGGGGTATGTGGGGGTGTACACGAGACAGCTTCAGTATGGGCTGAGGTTCCCTTTGGACGTATTCGTCCGAGACTTGCTGATCCATTACAACATTTCCCTGTGCCAGCTGACCCCCACCAGCATCCGAAGGGTAATGACGTACTTATGGGTCTGCAAATTCTTCAGATACGTGCCGAACCTGCACTGCTTCAGAAAGCTCCATCGGCTAGTGCCAAATATTCAGAGTGGGCACGGAAGCCATGGTTCTGGGTGGTATCGGATTGAGTCTCGGCCCCCGTTCCTAACCATGTGGCCGAACGACTCTTCAGACAAGGACTGGAGAGGTCAATGGATTTGGGTTAGGGCGCCCACGGAGCCGAGCCATCCTTATGTTTTCAGCGCTCCCCGGTATCTTGCCGAGCCGGATCCTGATATGGGAAGTTTAGGTCCTCCCGAAGATAGTGGGCCAGACCCGAACCTTAATCAGCAGAACATCTTCGGCAAGCTGCCGAACCGGGGAGGCAGCGGCCGAATGCAGCATATCCCGGAGACTTGGCTCCCCGATACGCACTATGTTTTCCAAGAGAATATGCTGGCAGCTGTCGGCCTCAGCCGAAAGTTTAGGGATGGTAATCTTCTTCGGCTGGGGCCGAGGCCTTTTAATTATCTCTTTTCTTCTTTCATTTTGCTTTCTTGTGATGTGCCGAACTAACTGAATTGACTTCTCCCCTTTTCTTTTTCAGAACGGGACGAGACCAACATCGGCATTGATTACGCTCGCCTTGGCGTCAACCGAGAACGAGTCGTAACTGATCGGGCTCCCCCTATCACTGAACCAAGGCGCCGAGAGGTTCACCTAGACTCTTCCCACTTCCAAATTGAGGCTGTTGCTCTGTATCAGAGGCAGAAGCCTTGGTGGAAGAAGAGGGATCCCTTGTTTCAGCTGCTGGAAGAAGAAGCTGAAGCTGCCCGTACAGCCGAAGAGGTTGCACGGGTTATTGAAGCTTGTGAAGGAGGAGAAGGGTCCTCCAGAGCTGCTGAAGCCGAAGCTGCAGCTAGAGCAGCTGAAGAAGACGAGGCTTTGCTGAAGACCTCGGTGAGTTTTTAGACAACTTTTTTCTTTCTTTTTTTTTTTTTTTTTTTTTTTTTTACTCACACTCTTCTTCCCCCCTGTCTGTTACAGTCTGAAGAG